TCCCATTTAATTTCTCTTGTAAATCATTTAAACTTTTTAATGGATTCCTCAAATGCAGAAACGTCGCTAAACGCTTGGGCATTCATTCCACAAAATGGAGAAAATCCCTAATAGCTTATACCCTTCTAAGGCGTGATATTGAAGTCATGTCGGATTCTCTTGGGTCGATCTTGATCTCGACCTTCTTTTCAACATTATCAACTTTCTTACCTTAACCTTTATTTCCCGACATCTAAACACAATCAAAAATCATCTTACTTTAATAAAGTGTAATTTTACTCCCTTATAAGCATCATCACAGTATATATACAACCATCAATAAACTTTTGATATCATAGTGGCATGTATACATTCTTAACAAAATTAATACTCGTTTCATGTCCAAAAATGGTTAAACTTGTAGCTTTGATACCAATAAATGTAACACTCATTTCCCGTATACGTTTTCATACACGAGTTACAGATGTCACATGACTTTTGAAACATTCTCAATACTTGAAAATCATTAAATTTTTTGTTTTCTTTAAAATAAAACCATTTAATAATATAGATTATAAGACATTCTTTATATATATATATATATATATAAAACATGTATACTCCAATTAGCAATACTAGTTCAAGTTATCCATATTTAAAATCAATATAAGACGATCCAGTTAATCTATTACAAACCAATTTACAAAATATTTAAATAGAGCTAATAGGACATTCGTAAGTACATGCCACTAAACTAAGTCCAAAATTACATCATAGGATGCCTTACTGATATTACAGTATATTCCATGATGCTTGGAGTTGCTTGGTACTCTTTACTTCTAATCTCGGCTTTTACCTACATGTGAAACCAACACACTCTAAGTAATTACTTAGTGAGGCATAGTAATACAAAATGAATTATACTTAAATATAAGCATATCCCAAATTATCAAAATACAAATGAAAATCATATAATTCATAACAATACATCAAATAATTTTGGTGAACCAATCTTCAATCAAATATCATGATAACTATCTTTAGTATGCCCAACATACCTATCAATTAGTATTTTCTAATTTATCCTTTGTTTTCCCAATATATGTTTAATGAAAATGCATGGTTCATGTGTTGCACCTAAATGCCGTAATTAAAACATAAGTATATCATAACTATCAAAATATGAATTTATTGTTTTCATAACATTATAAGTTCTTTGGGTTGCACACGTAGTGTCGATACAGTCATTCATAAGCTCATAATAAATTCTGTGGGTTGCACACTTAGTGTCGATACGATAATTCACAAACTCATTATGAATTACATGGGTGCACACATAGTGCCACTACGGAAATTCATAAACTAATTATGAATTTCTTAGGTTTTACACACAGTGCCAATACATAAATTCATAAACTAATTATGAATTTCTTAGGTTGCACACATAGTGGCAATATGAAAATTCATAAACTAATTATGAATTTCTTAGGTTGTACACATAGTGCCAATACAGAAATTCATAAACTAATTATGAATTTTTTAGGTTGCACATATAGTGCCAATACAAAAATTCATAAACTTATTATGAATTTCTTAGGTTGTACATATAGTGCCAATACGGAAATTGATAAACTTATTATGAATTTCTTAAGCTGCACACACAGTGCTAATACGGAAATTCATAAACTTATTATGAATTTCTTAAGTTGCACACACAATGCCAATACATAAATTCATAAACTTATTATGAATTTCTTAAGTTGCACACACAGTGCCAATAAGGGAATTCATAAACTTATTATGAATTTCTTAAGTTGCACACACAATGATATTCGGTAAACGCAATACATACATTAAGCAAAATGCATCTATGACTATCATAACATATAAGTACAGAATTAATGCAGTCACCTTGTATGCCTCAATTGGATGCCTTACTAATGTCTGACTAATCAGTAACTTTATTTTTCCCTTGTTCTTGCTAGACTTAGGAGGTTGATTTTGATCTATACAAGTATCCATAATTATACATACAATACAAATGTTAGTATACTTTCTAACATTTATACTTCTAATAATACTCAAAAGTAATATTATTTCCAAATTCTATTAAATTTCATCCTATATTAACATTTTGGGCTGACTACTATCGATACCCCTCCTATGGTATCGATACTTCTATACTATGGTACAGATACTCCCTTTCAGTATCGATATCATTTATGTATTCTAGAATCCATGGTATCGATACCTTTCTCTTAGTATCGATACCTTTCTCTTAGTATCGATACCCACATCAGTATCAATACTAATTGCATCAGTATCGATATTGTTCATCATATTTCTTTAAATTTAAACCTAAAGTATCGGTATTGTTCTTCCAAAACCGATACCCTTACCCATATTTTCCATTTTTCAGCTCGATTTTTACCATATTTCATTTAAATCTCTTACTTTTAACTCCAACAATACCATTAAACTCCCCATTACTTAAACCAACTTTCCTCCATTTAGCTTCTTATAACACCCAAATTCTCTAAAGAACACTCCAAACCAAGAATTATACTATTTTTTCTAACATGTTTTTAATCACATCCAAGGCTTCTAATCTCTTATTTACTTATTTAACAAGTTAAATATACTTGTAAACATCAATAAAAACTCATATTTCAACAAATCATTCAAAAACCTATTTTCTTCAATCTCAAATAAAACATTCATTTCTTAGTTTTAATCCTCTTTAACCTTTCCTTAAGCTTCTATATTTCTTAAGGTTTCACAACCAAACCATAAACGAAAGGATAAACCAACTTGATGAAACCTTACCTTTGCTATGGGGAGCATGGGGGAACGACGAGAGGAAAAAGAGAACCCAATCTTTTTCAACTTCCCTCTTTTTCTCCTATTCACTCTTAATAAATATTCCAATTTAAATAAATATTAAATTCATTCCTTAAAAAAGACCAAATTGTCCCTCTATTATTTCATTCTTAATAATTAGTCTTACACACAGTTTCCTAAACCATTCCTTATACTTTTCAATTTACTCAATTAAACCAACCAAATTTTAAATTCTTTCACTATGCTCACTGACTCGATGTTTGGAATATTATGTTTTAAATAAGGTGACCCATAAGAAAATGGACAAGACACAATATGGATTATGGAAAGGTATAAAATCCTCCTACAACTACTTGAAAGTACAAGAGTGTCTTGCAGAGGTAATGACTACAAATAATTTTGAAAAGTATTCTTGAATGGCCAAAGTCTATGCCTAAATTATGCTTATATTGTGATAACCAATCAACAATTAGTAGAGCACAAAATATAATGTATAATGGTGATGCACCGTCGACACGATATCATTAGATAACTTATCTCAAATTAGAGTTATCTTGATTGATTTTGTAAGATCAAAGTATAACATTGTGGATCTGGTAATCAAATAATTGAATCAATATCAAGTTGATAAAAAATTGAAATGAATGAGACTAAAGCCCATGAATATTTAAGGCACTATGTGAAAGAAAATCCAACGTAGTAGACTCGAGGACAACCTACTTTCATAAACCTTGTGAAGTCACTGTGAGGGTTATATCCCAAGTCCATTCTATGATGAAAACAATGAATAAAATATGGAAAAGGTTAACCAATGATTTTATTGATCAATATGTGTTTCGGTGAGTCAAACAACATAAGTCACCCATGTGAAAGTTAGTGGAGTCGCTTCAAAGAGACTATTAGGGCATGGTTCTCTAAGCTCTTGCAGAACCAGGAGATGTCCATAGTTATATGAACATAACCATGAGAACCAAATTCTTGTGAGGGAGATATTTGTGTGAGGTATCTCATCGCTTATACAAACGACGGGACAATTCAAGGACATCACGTCTATTGGACTAGTAAGGTAAACATATTTTCACAAAGGAATGTTCAAAGAAGGGTGTCTACATATCCTATTCAAATATCTAACATAGAATTTATCACCATATCGTCAGTGGTTTGAAATAATCAATTTCATTTATGTGGGGGATTGTTAGAAAATAATAAATTCATTGAATAAAATTGATGTTCTTTATAATAAGTCATATCACTTGGTGAATAAATTTATTATAATAAGTCACGTCACTTGATGAAAGATTTATTTTTTTGTTTAAAGTTGCATTCATTCAATTACATCTATTAGCTTTTCAACTACTCTTTTCGTCAAAAGGTCTTAACCTTTCAATCATTTCCTCTCCTCTATATATAGACTAGCTAAGGAATAAATCTTAGTGACAATTCACAACATTAGATTAGGAAAACATTTAAAAAATTCCTTCTAAATTCGTTATCTCTGGTGATAGATAAATGTAAGATTGTGTTCGACTGATCACTACTGTTGTGATCGTTTGTTGTTGTGTTCTAGGAGACTGACGTTTAACATTACTCAAGCATAGAAGAGAGGACAAATTTATCTTAAGGAAATTATTCATACAAACCTCAACAATAATTTCTTTCTGTTTTTTGGCAAGTCTATGTACGAGTAACAATTTCATTTTTCTATTTTATTTCTTTATTCATTTTGCTTCATTCAATTTATATAATAACATTTGTTTATTATTGTTACTATGTATCAAATTAACATTTTGTCTAACAATAACAAATCTAAAAATTAAAAAATAGGATCCAAAAGTTTTACTTTTCTTTTTTTCTTCTTTCCTAATATGTTAAAAACAATCTTTTGTTTATTTATTATTAAAACAAACCAAAGCGATAAATCCTAAGATTTTTAAAAATATATATATAGAGTTTGATAAATACAATTCTGTAGCTAAATCAATACCTGTAAAATGGTTTTTGAGAAATCAGAAGTGTGCTGGGAACGGCGAAAAGGTGATGACGGTTGGTTTTGGTTCAATCCTACTCAATTGGTACATATCCTTAAATACAACTAATTAAACGATATAAGATGATCTTTAATATAACATAGACAATTTATTTATACTGCATATTACACAGATACATGCGTAAGACTCACCTCAGGGACATCCAACAGAAACCTTGAGCCAATCCACACCTCCAACATCACATGCAGCGCTTCCACCGGACTCTTTTCCCTTTTCGCTGTCATGCGACTCCGGCTTGGCGCCCGGAGCCGATTGATTGGAAGTCTGGTATTGGTGCTGGTAATTCTCTGCCTTGTCCACGTATTGGCCGACACCAGTGTTCTTATCCAGCTTACCGTAGTCTTGTGCTGCCAAGAGATCAGCAGCGGCACCGGAAACCTTGCCCTTGTCGAACTTGTCGGTTTCGTTGTTGAGCGTGGATTTCGCTGCGTCGGCCACCGTCTTAACCCTAGAGAAGAGGTCGGAGTTGCTTGGTTTGTGGTCTTTCTCCATTGTTACTCGGTGTGTGGGATGATATCTGCTAATTGATTTCTTGCCTGTGAGTTGATGAGGATAATATTAATATATAGATAGATTATATGATGTGGATATATTATGGAGTATGGACCTCCACCCTCTTAACTTCTTCATTGTGTCTGCAACAACTACTATTTCTTTGGGTAGTTGAGCACCTCAATTTGCCACACATTTGTTTATTTGTTTCGACTGGCATGGCTCTTGATATTTTCAGTGCACCAAGTTGACGTGTTCCCACCCCATAGGGAAATGTTTATAGCATTCAACTAAATTTTACTTAGATTTTATATTTTTACATTAAATTAATATTTGTTCAGTTATTTCTATATTTAAAAATATATGTAAAAAATAAAAATTATATTAAATCAAGTTAAGTTGGTTTTTAAATAAAATTTTAAATAAAAATCAACTAGATAAAATTATATTTAAGTTTAGGTCAAGATCATGTTGTAGATACCCATTTTTATCCGAATCAATTCGAGAATTTCTATGTATACCTGGTAATTTTATTATTTGGTACTAAATATAGTATAGTAATTATAGTATATTATAGTATTTATTATAGTAATTATATAGCGAAAGAGTGAGAGTGAAAAGACAGAAGTTTCGAAGATAACGAAGAACGGACCATTGTAAACACAGTAGAGGGAAATTGGGCCCTCTCAGGGTTTTTGGCCCATTAGGGCAACCCAGGAATTTTTTTGTAAAATGGGCCACAAACACATTTATTTTAGAATCTACAACATTTTCTACAAAAACTCGTCACTTTGAGATTATAAGTTCGAATAAAAAATATTTTTATTAAAATTTTTTACCTTGATTTAATAAAAATTTATGTTTTATTGAAACTCATCACCTCGAAAAAAACGAGTCTAAATAAAAAATTATATTTTATTAGAATTTATCACCTCAAAATACGAGTTTCATGAACACTATAGAAAATATAACAAATCCCAAAATAAAAATCCAAAACCCTAATGAGCTAAATAAAAAACCCGATTACCCTAATGAACAAAAAAAAACCGTTCTCAGAGCCTAGGAAGGGTATTGCAACCAAAGTCCAAAGGAGTCTCGTCATTAGGTAAGACACTTGTTAGATACGATTACATTTTTAATCAAAAGTTCGCTTTGATTCGGTTTAATTTTTTTCAAAAAAAAATTATTTTTCTTAATATTACAATACCATATTTCATATATGGAGGTCTCTCACGGAAGCTGCTCTCAACCTGGCGTTGGGGGCATCCTACTATCTTACCTCCCTCTTACCCCATTACATATGGGAATAAGAGTCAACTAATTTTTTTATTTTATATTTCATTGCTACTGTCATTTGAACCATTCTCACCCTAAACCCAATTTTCTGCACTAAAACCACAAAATTAGGCTTTGATAAATAAACTGAAGTAAGCTACTAGCCCCATCATGAAGATTGGTTAAGCAGACTAGCAGAGAGTTGCTATCTTCAGAAAGCAGAGTGGCGATTACATTCATGCACACAATCTTCCATACCTCAAATTTCGAAGGCTCGAAGCCCTCCCCGTTCACTCTGAATCTGCTAAATGTTTCAACTTCAAGATTTGAAGATAAATGATCAGGGCTGTAAAGTTGAAGGCTTATTAGAGTTGGAGCATTCTCAATCTTAGAAGCTTCAGTAGTGGATTGCTTCCTGTCGGAACCGTCTTTCGGTTGGGCCCGAAATTGGGTTTCGACTTGCATTGATTGGGTTGGAGTCACCACCGATCATTTATTTTTTTTAAAAATAGGTTGATCGGATACCTTATTTCTTACCTGATCTGCGTCTTACCAGAAATATGTCGGGTTCGGGAGTCGGTTACAGTTAAGGAAGGATTAGCACCCTTGAACCGCCCTTTCGGTACCAATTAATTTACTGGTTGTCTTGATTGCAAAAAAATTAAAATTAAAATTGAAATTTAAAAATTCAATTCGAACAATTACCTTTGATCAATTAAAATTACCTTTAAAAAGGGGTTAGATTGTAAAAATAAAAATAAATATAAAAAAATGAATAATAATAAAAAAAATCATTAATATAATAATAATAAAAATAAATAAATAAAAGTGAGTAAAATAATAAAAAGATAAAAATATAATAAAAACAAAACATAAATGCGGGTTAAATTCCTACTTGCCTTTAAATTTGAATTGAAAGAGCAGTAATGTGTCTTGATATAAACAAAATATATAGGTCACACACATTAGTGTATTGTCCCATACGTGAATAGTATCCAGACAAAGACCATAACTACACCTTCACCCCATCTCCCTTTCATTCGTTTTAACTCGTTTCATTTCGCACAGATAAAAAAAAAGCTCTATGGAGTTTCAACCGAAATGGTGCTCCACCGTATGTTGGAAACTGGTCACTTCCCTAGAAGTTAAAGCTCGGCATTTATGGAAGAAGCGAAGGTAGTTATTCACGTGGTGGAACTAGCGTTGGATCTTGGGTTCCAAAAGTATCATAGTGGAAGAGGACTCTTCAATTTCGTTCCATGATCGACGAACAGGGCGGCTCACATCTTGGCTATTGATGTAGAACTTGGGGACGAAGATCATTACTGGGTAGAGGAAGGACCTCATTTGTTTGCTGCCAACCCCATTTTTTCAGAATCAAAGGTGAGTTTCCTCCGATGGGTTCCCAAAAAAAATCCCCCCGAATACTCAGTATTTTCTCTCCTTTTTCGAATGAATTCTTGGTGTAATTTTCTCCCCTCTCTCCCCTTACAATACATGAATTTATAGGGTTTGAATGCCCCTATTTTTTGGTGTTTTAATCCTAGTAGAACTCTAACACTGCGTTTATTGGCCTTGTTGTTTCCACGAAATCCAAATGCCGATAAATCCGGCTGGTTAGCTACGTAGGAGGCGTGCTGCGCGGGGAAACTTTGGACGAGGGAGCTTGCGGCGCAGAAGAAAACCTGCTAGGGTTATGGAAACCCTAGCCCTGATTCAGGAGCGGGTTGCGTGCTTTGGGTTTAGCATAGGTAGCTGATTTTGGGTCCCATATGGGCCAGTAACTTTGTATTGGACCTGCAATATGTAACATAAAATAATATATGTTAATAAAAAAATAATAATATTATATATATATATATATATATATAATACATATATATATGTATGTTTTGGTCAAAAAAAGTGTGTCCACAGCTGCCCCTCTTTGCCCGTAGTCGTGTAACGGGGATAGGGCAAAGATTAAAAGACACACTTTTCGTTTAACATAAATGTTTCCAAATTTAACACCATCCACATAATGGTCAAATCCCATCGAATATCTTCTGTTGTAGAGTTGAAATCCGATATTTTATTGGTTTGTCAATTTGGATTAAATCAGGAAATGACTCCGTCGTAGCGAGGTCGAGTTGAACTGGAAACTTCTGAGCACGATGTCGTGAAGTTGAAATTGAACTCAAAAGCTCTTGGCAAGTAGCCTCTGAACCGTCTTCTGGCTCAAGATACTTCGTCGTGAAGGTGAAATTTAACCTGAAGACTTTAGTGTTGTTGTGTTACAGATGACTCATTCGTCATGAAGTTGGGTCAATCTATTTGTGAAGTTGGAATCGTATAGGGCCCCTTCGTCGTGAAGTTGAGCCTGAGTATTGGATATCCTTCGTTGTGAAGTTGAAATCCAATGTAAGTTGTGTTGTTTCGAGGCCAATATCATTCTTCGTGAAGTTGAAATTGACTCTGAAACTAGAAAGTTTATTTACATACACTCCTTCTTTGAGTTGAATATCCTTCGCTGTGAAGTTGAAATCCACTCTAAAGATAGGTGTTATTTGTATGCACGATTCCCTTCGTCGTGGAGTTGAAACCGCGGGTGACCCCTTCGTTGTGAAGTTGAAATCCAAGTAAGTTGTATTGTTCCGAGTCCAATATCATCCGCCGCGAAGTTGAAATTGGTTCTGGAACTGGGAAATTATTTGTTGACAACCAGTCGTCCCTTCGTTGTGAAGTTGAACTTGTGTTGTCTCGAGTCCAATATCCTTCACTGTGAAGTTAAAATTGGCTCTGAAATTGGGAAATTGTTTGTTAACAACCAGCCGTCCATTCGTTGTGAAGTTGAACTTGTGTTGTCTTGAGTGGCACGATATCCTCCGTCGTGGAGTTAAAATTGCAGATGGCCCCTTCCGAGTCCAATATCCTCCGCCGTGAAGTTGAAATTGACTCTGAAATTGGGAAATTGTTTATTGACAACCAGCGGTCCCTTCGTCGTGAAGTTGAACTTGCGTTGTCTGGAGTCCAATATCATTCGTTGTGAAGTTGAAATTGGCTCTGAAATTGAGAAGTTGTTTGTTGACAACCAGCGGTCCCTTCGTCGTGAAGTTGAACTTGCGTTGTCTGGAGTCCAATATCCTTCGTTGTGAAGTTGAAATTGGCTCTGAAATTGGGAATTTATTTATTGACAACCAGCGGTCCCTTCGTCGTGAAGTTGAACTTGCGTTGTCTGGAGTCCAATATCCTTCGTTGTGAAGTTGAAATTGACTCTGAAATTGAGAAGTTGTTTGTTGACAACCAGCGGTCCCTTCGTCGTAAAGTTGATCTTACGTTGTCTGGAGTCCAATATCCTTCGCTGTGAAGTTGAAATTGGCTCTGAAATTGGGAAGTTGTTTATTGACAACCAGCGGTCCCTTCGTCGTGAAGTTGAACTTGCGTTGTCTGGAGTCCAATATCCTTCGTTGTGAAGTTGAAATTGGCTCTGAAATTGAGAAGTTGTTTGTTGACAACCAGTGGTCCCTTCGTCGTAAAGTTGAACTTATGTTGTCTGGAGTCCAATATCCTTCGTTGTGAAGTTGAAATTGGCTCTGAAATTGGGAAGTTGTTTGTTGACAACCAGCGGTCCCTTCGTCGTGAAGTTGAACTTGTGTTGTCTGGAGTCCAATATCCTTCGCTGTGAAGTTGAAATTGGCTCTGAAATTGGGAAGTTGTTTATTGACAACCAGCGGTCCCTTCGTCGT